CTGTTTCATAATAAAGTGTTGTTTACAAAATAGCTTTGTTAGTGTGTATGTAGAAAAAAAAGTATTTATTCCACCTGAATCCACCCTGCTGAGCCTAGCTTTGTAAGCTCTCTTAGTTCATTCTAAATAGCCCCTTATGCTCAATGGCAGAAAGGCTTTGGGCACAGATCATTTAGTAAACAGATGAGGAAAAAGTATGACCTTTAAACAACTCCCCCCAACGCTCACAGATTATTTACTTTGAATGTTTTAGTAGTGTACCCCTTTGATTATTGTTAAATGGCAACTTTATAACCAGCACTACTTTTAGGTTTTAAAAAATATTTTTAAGGTACTGGAGGCAGTGTTCAGTTTTAGCAGGCGAGATTTACATCTTGGAGTACAGCCTTCCAGACTTGAAGGGGGAGGCAGAGGAAACGCGCTAAGCTTTGAGGAGTATCTGTTGGGTTAGGTTTTAAGGCATTGCTACTAGGTTTTCATGCTCAAAGACCTTGCATTTCCAAGTATTGAAATGTATGCAAATGAAATCTTTGTCCAGAGAGGAGATTGTAAGTAATGGTAGTTTGTTAGTAAGTGGAATTTGAAGGACGTAAGCCCTTTTGGTCAGGACCTTCTTATTCTCTTGAAGTAGTGGTAGTCTAATAGAGCAAGGGGAAAGCCCTTTGCATCTAAGCCTCTCTTTTCTTTATGAACCAAGGACAGCCTTAGTATAAATAATACTACTTTGAAATTTTTTGGAGTCTTGCCCATATATACAAGATCTGATTTTTGTGATCAAAAAGATCTATATAATGTCTTCAGAAATGTAGTTTTGTAACCTCACTTACTCAGAGAGAGAAAAAATGCTGTGAGGACAAAACGTCCACACATGCTTAGGCCTTTGCAGCTTAAAAATAAACATCTGAAGTACATGTTTGGTTTTAAATTTGTGAAATTTCTGACTTAAAATTACCATTCCGTGTAATTTAAAACAGATGTTGATATTACAAAAAGCTGTTTCTGCTAAAGCAGACTTTAGTGTCCAAAAAGGCAATTAAAATAACACTGACAAATATTCAGTGGGAGAGATAATCTCAAATCAAAACCAAGGCAGCCAGAACAGTTTGACCACCTGAGTAGGGTAACTCGAACGCTCCTCCTGATTCTTCCACTTCAGCTTTTCGTGATTTTGCTCAGAGCTCCGCAAAGTAAGTTTCTCTGCCTTTGCCACACTTTTCCCCAAATGCAGTAAGTATCCCCATTTTTCAGTTTAAAAAAAAAGACCAACACATGCAGGGAGAAGCAGAAGTCTTTTTCACATTTATGCAAAACACCAGATGTGTGTACATAAGTGGAAAGGTATGTGGGTGGGATCACGGGCTTGCATTCGTAACTTGCAGACAAAATCATGAAAATGTAGGCCTAAGTGACTGTCTCAGAGTCATACCCACCACCTGTTTCTGTGGCAAGGTTAAATCTTTTTGGGGCAGAACAAGGTCTTTTGACTCTTGTTTTACCCCAGCTGAATTTTGATTTGCACGTCACTTTTGTGCTGGCCTCACTTCTTTCTTCATCAGACTGACAAAGCTGTCATTGTGGATGCAGTTAAAAGTATCTTAGACCTTGTGCACACATGGGTACACCTCAGTCTCAGTGTGTAGTCTCACCCTCCTGTCAGTAAAGTGCTCCTGGTATAAGTGTGTCTCTATTAGGCTGGCATAGTCAAAATCTTCCCCAAGTCTAACACTGAATATTTTTCTTAGCATGACCAGCGGTGGTTTATGTGGTGAGTTGGACTGGGGCAGATGTGTTGATCTGATGCGTGAAAACGTTATGTTTCCTGACAGCTAGGCGTAGCATCACCCTGAGTTGCATATCCTTTTCCTGCTTCCCGCGTGGGACTTGTGCTCTGAGTTGTATTGCTTCAACAGTAGCACAGTAGTTCAGCAAAAGAGATTTCACGCTTAAAGGTCAGCTTTCATAGAAGTGGGAAACTTTCCCCTCCCAAACTTTTAAGAGTGAGATACACCTTTATGATGACACCGCAAAATGTATCTGACCAGACAAAGAAGAACTCAGATCTAAGTCAGCACACAAGAATGTTTAAGAGGAAAGCTTATAATAGGACTCTTTGCTTTTAATCTCGTTACCTTTGCATATCCTTTGTGCTGTTGTGTCCAGCATCATTACTACAAGTTGAGCAACGTAGTTCCCAGCCATTCTTACTCCCAGTTTTAGAGCCTTTTGGTTCTTTTCAAGGAAGAGTATGAGAAGGCCAAAAAATCCTGAGATGTTTTGGATTTGCTTTTGCCCTAATTTGCTTCGTATCTCTGGTTGTAACTTGTGTTGGACAAACCTGTTTACTCAGTAGAAGTTTCTGCGTGCTGCCTGCTGCCAAATCTCCTGGTTGCAGACGTGCCTAAAGAGTTGAAGGACAAGTGGATCTTTCTTTAAATCCTCTTTTTACAATCTGCGGACTGTAACAGTAAAAAAAGACTGACCCCAGCAGGAGACTGCACATAAATAACTACTCTGAACATTCCCTGGATAACCTGTCAGACAAAGATACTGGTATTTTTTTTGCTAGAGGCAACGTGAAAGCTCTAAACCTGAAGGTCATAATCTGAGGACTGGGATTTGGGAAGACTTAAAAAAAAATGAAAAAAAAAATAGTAGTTTTAAATGCCATGTATACTTTACAACAATTTAGTCCTGTCTTCCCTCTTTCCCACATTAAAAATACACATTTCAGTATGAAAAAGACCTTGAGCTGGTCAAAGAACAAACTAAGATTATCCTGGTAAAAGTACAGTTTAACTGGGGATAACATTAGTAAAGCTTGGCAAAGCTGCTTTTTCTCCATAGCTGCCAAACATTTTTTTGAGTAACAGTCGTTCATTATTTCACCAAACTAAATAAAACATTTGACCCTCAGGTAATCCCAGTGAGCAGAATTCCCCTGCGGTGTCATTGGGGCCGGCTTCTGCTGAAAGGCAAGAAGGCAAGTGAGCTGCACCAGTGTGACTCGGGGCTCCAGTGCCTGAGCAGAGCGTCTGTTCATGAACGGTGTTTGCTGAAACTCCTGGTAGACTTATGTTCAACACAAAAGCCCTTGGGCATCAGCTCAAGGACACGGTGGCATCATTTGTTTGCTGTATGTGAGATGTTAGAGGAAAAGGCGAAAGTTTGTGGACAGTTCAAGAAAGTAGAAGAGTACCTCATTAAATGAATCTTAGCAAAGGAAATCGCTTTCCCCAGTATTTTCATCTCAGTTTTGCCAGAGGTGGTGAAGTCCTAGGTCTTGTACGCGTGTGGTTTTTTACTCTCTCATATTTATAACTTCTTGCCAGGCCTCTGGGTGTGTTGTATGTTTAAATTCTGTAAAAAATATCAGCTTGGTATACAGGCCTTCAAATAAATTTAAATTCAGTTATTTAAAACTGAGAGTATAGAAATTATTAACAGAATCATCTAGTTGTTCAGGCAGTATCTTCATTCTGCAACAGAAGATTTTCTCCCTGCCTTACTTATACAACTTTGTGGGTTTTTTTCTGCAGACTTCTAGTAAATACTACAAGTTCTCTTCTCTCTCCTCTGTGAGTGTTTGGTCTGCTACAGTGTTGTCCCTTGAGTAACTCCTTGGTCTTATCCTGGAGGATGCTGCATTTATAACTCTCTCCCCTTTTTCTGGGAGGATAACTTAAGCCAGTGTAACTGTGAATGTTAAAGACTTCTCGGGGTTGATCTTTCACTACAAGCTGTAGAGAACAGTAATGTTCTCACAAAAATGAGTCTTTGTTTAGTTGCATGTTTGATTAATTGCAGGCTTTTGGCCTCCCAACTGGACGTTTCGGTGTTTTCTTGCCGACTTCAGCTCTGACAAGGTATAGGTGCTAAGGCTGGGCATTGTAATCTTGAAAGTGAGTGTGTTACAGTGAATAACATGGCCCTTGCAAACATGTTGATCTTAATAACTTTAGTTACGTTCTTCTGAGTTCTCTTTTTGGTTTGCCAGTATATCATCTGATTTATTTTTTTCCCCTCCAGAATTAAAATAAACCATTGTTTGTTGCATTGAATTTTTTCTTTTCCAGTGAAAAACACTCGTGTTCCCCAAGCCCCAATATCTTTTTTGAGCTCCATGATGTATGTATGATTTTGCTGGGAAATTAACCTCTTGAAGAGGATTCAGTGTTAACTGACTCATTGCCTCCTTATTTGCCTTCCATCGGAGAGTTGCCAACACCTCCCATGCTTTGCAAATTCTATTCTAATCTTGATTCTGTATCTTGATTATTTGTCAAATTAGAATGTCCTTAAAGAAGAAAGGAGTTGTATTATCAATAGTCAAAATATGTGAGAACCTTCAAGTGCAATGTATACTTTTTTGTTGGGTTTTCTTTTGTTGTTTCAATTAAAGTTAAGCCCATTGTACTTTTTTGTTTTAAAGCACAAGTATCTGGTTACTTGTTTGTTGTTTCTTACTGAGATTTCAGCAAGACTTTAATCACTACTTAAGTTACAAACAAAATTCCTTGAAAAACAGAGTGGTTTTGTTTGGATTCTTTTCAAATTCAGATGTGCCTGATGATTGAGCATGCAGGGGAAAAAATATCAGAAATTCAGTAACTATTAATGGCCCAAGGAGGTTACTTTCCTTAGTTCCTACACTTTCCTGAGTTCCTCCAAACTGTTGAATTTAGTTGTTTGATGTTTGTGCTGGGTAATAGCCTGATGAAGAGCACTGGCTGTTATATAGTGTCACAATTTAACACTAGTGTGTCAAAATGCCTGGTTGTGCTGGGGTCTGAGTATAAAACAAATGAGAAAGCACTTGCAGGAAGTTTTTCATCAGTGCTCTCAGTTCGCCCCTTCCTTCCTTTCCCCTGCCTTTTCTTCACATTCAAACTGCTGTTAGATTTTTCATATTAAAATGCTGGGTTTTCCATATTTAACTTTTTTTTTAATTTTAAGCATGGTGGTATTGATTTTTCTCATTGCACATTCTCTAAATCTCTGGCAGAAGTCCTGGAGGGGATTTGGGAGCAAAGAAGAAGAAAAAGAAGCAGAAGAGAAAAAAGGAGAAACCAAATTCTGGAGGCACCAAATCAGATTCTGCGTCTGACTCCCAGGAGATTAAAATTCAACAGCCTTCAAAAGTGAGAGTCTGGTTCTGTTTTAATTTGTGCTTGCTTCCTAATTTAATTTTGTGTGTTGTTTTTTTTGTAAAAGTGAGCTGGTAGTTCTGCCTTAACACATCAGAATTAAGGAAATAGTTCCTGTCCTAATAGAGACAGAAGCAAGGTAAGGCCTGGTGTTTGCAGGTTGTATGAAGTTAGCTGGAGAGTCGTCGTTACCACCACGGTGGTGTACTGTGAGAAAAGCAGAGGAAGAGGTGTCTTGTCTTTCTTTTCCAGCAGTTAGAACTCAGACTAGTGACAGCTTTGTCGCAGGGAACCTTAATCTGTAGTGGTAATGCTTTTAAATAGATTCTGTGTTTGATGAATTGCCTTTAGTTTAGCCACCATCTAATTTGACTCAGTGCAGTTTCAGTAACTTGTACAGCATAATGCTATCTCATGGTGAGCATCAGCAGTAGGAGGGAGGGTGTACGTGCTGTGCTAACCAGAGTCTCATTTGGGCAAACAAGCAGCATGTCATCTTACATAAAATGCAGTAATCTCTAACATGGAGATACAGACTGAAGAAGTGTTTTGCCATCTGAAAGGCCTCCGCTGTAAATAAAAATGCAAAACTACGTGAGGGGATGTGCAATTTTTGTGGGCTTTGTGATAAAATAGCATTGTCTATGTGCTTTTGATGACCGTGTTCTGAATGAACGGTGAATAGCATCACGTGGTGGCTTTTAACATGCAGCTTTTATCTCAAGAGAAATCTGAGCCTGAGAACTGAAGTTTATAACATGATAATAAGAAAGTTTGTGGACCGTTGAGCAGATTGAAGTAGTTGTATTTGCTTTATCAGGTTAATGTGGAAAAAGTTACACTGTTGTACCAGTAGTACTATTCAGCCTTTAAGATTTGTCAAGTACGTTGGGGCTACCAACTAATTTTAGGGAAGAAGGTTGTGTTCTGGCTCATTAACATACTGATAGGGTTTGTGTTGTCCCTTTAGATCTTCCCTAAATGTCACCCCCATGGCTTTGAATGGGCACATTTGGCACAGGGGACGCTTTAAAATGTGTAGAGGGATCTTACGTATTTTCTGATCTCACCACATGTTTTGATACTGTGTTTCTATACAGCACGTGGCATGATTTGCTAATACAAGACCGTTTGCAGGCGATAACCAAGTAACCTCAAACTCTTACAATCAGAGTGAGGTCAATTTTAACGTTAACATAAAGACATAGTTCATTGCTGCAGTATCCTGGGAGTTCCTTGGCTCCCTGCTGACCAAACTTATTGTTCCATTTTTTGTTTTTATGTGCAAGATTTTCATCCTCAGCACCTTGCAGTCCTGCACACCATTTCTCTGGTGTGATGTGTTTTGCAAACGTGGAAGCCTTGTTCCAAGTTAGGTACTTAGAGTGGCACTCTACGTGATTATTTTACTGTCACAAGAAGTTTAGCCAGTTTGTTAGCAATGTTAGGAAATTTTCTCTTTTATTGACATAACAGAAAAGCTCTTATTTAAGTCTTTCTCTCAAGCTCTATGCAGCTGAATCATTTTACTGTTCTTATATGGCTTCCACTTTTCTCTAGTTTCAAATGCATCAGCATTGGCTGGGATTTTTTTGCCGCCTTTGCTGTGTTCCAGGTGTACACATTGATAAGTAGATGAGTTTGTCTTGGAAAATATTCCTGTTTTAACTATTTTTGAAAGCATCTTAGACTGCTGATCTGAGTCAGTGTGGAGAAGTATGTTTATTTATCTGTGCTACTCAACTGATACTTAGATTTTTGTATTCCTTGTGCTATGGAAAAAATATTGTAGAAAGAAAGGCTTTTAGCATTTGCTTGCTCTTGGTTGAAAAGACGTTTACAAAATATTTTGGAGGAAAGTGACATTATACGCCTTACCTCTAAGAAAAATATATGCGGGATCATCAGGTAATACTCAGTGGGGCTTCTGAACTCATTGAAAATTATTTTGAAAAAATATTTTGTCAGGTGAGTTTGTAAACAGGTGTACCAGTCTGGACATGAGAAAACCAGAACAGTGAATCTCCTTGGCTCCTCCCTGTCTTATTTGTGATATTGGACTTGTTGAACACTGGCATGAGTGTAACCACAACAATAAATGCTTGTTAGCATTGTCTGCTTACAAGGACCTTTAGGACACTTCACTGCCCATCTCACAAGACTTTGATCTCTCCCCGTTACAAGTCCCAATGATGTAGACTGTCCACACTGACACACATGAAGCTTGCCAGATCTGTGATGTTATCAGTCGTTATTGTAGTCACCAGTGGCCTACGCAACGTAGTCACAGAATAATTTAGATTTGAAGGGGCCTCTGGAGGTCTTTCAACCAACCTTCTTATTAGAGTAAATCTAGCTAGATCAGGTTGCTCAGGCCTAGATCAGGTTGTTTGGTCTCCATGGATGGAGACTCCACAACCTCTGTGGGCAACCTGTTCCAGTGTTTGACTACACTTGTGGTTGAAAATATAGTAATTCCTTACATCTAAATAGATTTTGCTGGTTTGCAACTTGTGTCCATTGTTTCTTGTCCAATCATTGTGCTCCTCTGAAAAGACTTGGCTTAGTTTTCTTTACATCCACCCATTAGGCAGTAATAAGATTTCTCCTGTTGCCTTAACCACCTCTTCTTAGGGCTGAACAAACCAAGAGCTCTCATCTTCTCCTTGTATGTCATGTGCTTCAGCCCCCCAGTCATCTTGGTGGCCCTCCAATGAACTACACAATGTCAATGTTTTCCTTGTAATGGGGAACCCAAAACTGTGAGATGTGATCTCAAGGGTGCCAGATAAATGGGAAGACTTGCTGGCCAGTCTTACTGGTACAACCTAGTATGCAGCTGTTCTTTGCTGGCCAGCAAACACTGGCTCATGTTCAGCTAGCTGCCCACAAGGACCTCCAAGTTCTTTTCTGTAAAGCTGCTTCCTAGCCAGTCCATGCTGGCTTCTGCTATTGCGTGGGCTTTTTCCATCCCAGATGCAGGACTTTGCATTTGTCTTTGTCAAACTTTATGAAGTTTCTGTTTCCAGCCTGTCAAAGTAGCTTTTAATAGCAGCTCTGTGGTCCGTTCTTCCAACTAGGTATCACCTATAAACTTGCAGAGAAAGCAGTCTTTTTCATGTCCAGATCATTAAACAGTATTGACCCGAGTTCTCAAAATCCTCCCCCTTGTCTTCTTGAAGATGGGTGTGACATTTCCCCTTTTCCAGTCATAAGGAACCTCCACCAATTGCTGTAACCTTTTAAACTTGTGATAGATGCTAGTTGCAGTAACATCAGCCAGCTCCACCAGCACCTCAGATGCATCTGGTCTGTTTTCAAGGACCTGTGCACACTTAGTTTGCTGAGTGGTCCCTAACTTTCTCTTTTGCTGTGGTTAATGGCAGTCTCACAGACTGTGCTACGAGGCTCAGGGACATCGAAGATCTTGTCACCAAAACTGAGGCAAAAAAACCATTGTGTACCTCAGCCCTGTTGCACAACAGTGCCGTCTTGTGCTGTGAGGAGATATTGCCCCTAAACTGAAATTAAACAAAATCACTCTTCTTTCTAATTCATGTGAAGTTCTTCATGTGTAGGCTTTTCTTGCTTTCCATTAAAAGAAAACAAAAAGGGTTGAAAGTAAACTTCTTAGCCAGGCTGACCTTTGAACATTTTGAAAGGAAAGGATATTCCTCCTGATGTCCCGAGCCATGTTGTATTTAGTACCAGAACGTGACCTTTTTACTTTACATATGCGAGTAAGATCTTTTTAGAACCTAATGTCTCTTTTTTATTTATTTTCTGTTTCTTCTTCTTCATGTGGAAAAAACATTAGAGACTTAAAATAAACATACAAAATTACCTACAATATGTTAATATTTGTATATGATTCCATAATGTACTGCTAAGATTTCAGAACTTATCTAGTGGCATTAGAAGTATTTGTATCAGGCCAGTGTGTAATAGACAAATTGATTTTTTAGTTGAGAAAAGTAAATTATGCCACTGTAATTCGGATCTAGAAAGAGAGCAGGTTTTTTCTATGCTGCAATAGTGTTGCTCTAACGTGTGTAAATATGTTAATTCACAACTACTCAGATGACAGGTGTTTAAAGTATGCCCACAGGTAAATTTTTGCACTACTTATATTAATGAAAGAAATTGCATAATGTTTAAAGACTACAATTTTTTTTTTATAAATAGAAAACAACAACCTGCTTGAGCTACCGGCAGGGAGTTTTACTTCTTTTGTGACTGAGGATACTAGAGGCAGATGTCTATCCAAGTGAAGCTTTCCATCATTATTACATGTAATTTATGGTGGGTTTTCAACACATGAATCCTACAGAGAAAGTGAAATATGGAAATAGTGATCCATTGATACTCAGTAAAAAAAACATCTGCCTTGAAATCTCTGTGCGGAATTGCTTCAAATTTTCCAATGTATTTGAGACTATTCCTTCAACTGTATTTATTGCACTGCAGTCTGGGAAAACCTGAGCACAAGCATGCTGTTAGTATGCCTCAGAACAGGACTTACCACTTGGGAGATAAAACAAACCAAATAAATAGATTAAAAAAGAGAGAGAAAAAGATCCCTTTAGATTTAGAAGTATGTTACCATTATTTCTTTCTACTTTCCTATTCAGGTAAAGTACTCATTCCAGTTACACTTAGAGCGATCAAAAATGAGGGTTTAAGAGCTCAGTTTAGAAATGCTTAGCCTTAGGTTTTATGCTTTTCAAATAACTTTTCTATAAATATTTTTTCAACTTTTAAGTGGAAAGCTGGTTTATTTTATGTCTGTCTGCTTCTATCAGTAAAAATTATCTTTAGTTGTGAGTGTTGGCACAGTTGGCGTTAGTGGCAAGACGGTTAACTCCCACATATGATACAGTGCAGAAGGGTACCTACTATAGAAGTTAATAGAAGGCAGATACAATATAACTAAGGTTAAAAAGTGGATATTTGTAGCAATATGGTGTACCTGAAATAATGAACCATTGTGAATTTAAATATTATTTTATATTGTATGTGTAAAACTTCAAACATCTCTGTGTGTACCAATGGTATCTTTAGATTGTTAGATATCTAAGCTGCTCTGCTTTGTGCTGGTTTATTGTGTTTTACCGGGGGGAAGGAGACAGGGAATACAAGAAGCTTTTTATTGTGATACTGGTATCTTGCCTTAATGCTGCAGCATTTGTGTTAAAAATGCTCCAGTTTCATGGTTAAATGCAAGCACTGCTCAAAACTATGAAGTGTTTTGTGAAGTTGCTTGTCTGTTGTCCACCTAACTTTCCGCCCTCCTGCCTCCAACGGTTATACCTAAACTAACCACGATGAGAAGAGTACATAAAGGAGTATGTAACAGTAAAATAAATGTACATGTTTGTAAACTTGTTCAAAGTAAATGTATTCAATAAGCTTCCTCTTCCATTTGTGTGCAGAATCCAGCCATTCCAATGCAGAAGCTTCAAGACATCCAGAGAGCAATGGAGCTGCTCTCTGCGTGCCAAGGCCCAGCAAAGAATATTGATGAGGCTACCAAACGTAAATACCAGTTTTGGGATACACAACCTGTACCTAAACTTAGTAAGTGTAACTGGACCTGGGCATAAGATCTGTCTTACTGACCACTAAAAGAATGTGTGCCAGCTGCGTGGCGTGTTCTCTAAAATGGGTATGAAGTTGGATTGTGCACGGTAGAGATCCTTAATCTTTTGTGTAGTTTATGTGGAATTCTTGATGTTCTCTAGGCAAGTGTTTACTTCCCTGCCCTGAAATGATACGCAACAAAACACAATGTTAATAAATCTCATTTTGATGTTCTCTATAAAAGTGGGAAATGCTATTAAAATAGCATTCCTTTGTAGATTTTAGGTCTGAACTCTTGAGCAACAGAATATAGAAGTCTTTTCCACTCCAGGGAAAATAAGTGGTCTAAGTGGTGACAAAAAGTAAGCTCTGATTTAATTAATTTATTTATTTATTTCCCCTCAAATTTTTTCAATAGCTAGATTTGCTATCAGAGATAATGACTCTCCTGCTGTAAGTTACACTGTTTTCATGCAGCTTTAAGTGGATAATGGCTCTTCTCTCATGCATGAACACTTGTACTGCTGTGTGTTTACATGCCCCCTCCACAAGGTACGCTACCTTGAAGACATGCTTTCTCAGAGTCCGTTCTCTGTTCTTGGTACCAACTGAGATGCTGAGGTGACCTCTCCTTGCCTTTAATTTTGTAAGGAATTTGGCAGATTGTTTTTTATATTGATCTGATCCCTGATAACACAGTTGCTAAATCCTAGTCTTTGTTGGAGAAGATAGTTGCTGACTCTTGCTTTTTCTGAATTGCCTTCTGAACCTTCTTCTTCCCCCTTCATTACCTTCAAGTTAAGCAGCTGTAGCTCTTCAGTGCCGACAAAACTTGGGGACCCCACAAGTAAAGCCGTCTCAGTGCAATAGCTGTCATTGTTCTGTTCTGCAGGTTTCTCTCCATGGCATTGGAGACTGGTGTAGAATAAGCCAAAATGAGGTGGAGTCTAAAGCACAGGAGCACTCTGCTCGCTCTCCACAGGGCACCATTTCACATTGATCCATTTCTATAGCTTAATCCACAGTGATCTCATTTCTCCCTGACTTCCTTGCATAGAGAAGTCCAGAGTGAGTCCCCAGATGTAATATTTTCCACCAGATTCAACTGATCTGTCCTGGCTCTTCTCCATGTAAACTCTATCCAGATACGTCTGTAAACTAATGGTAGTAATTGTCACAGTAATCCTGCCTAGATGAAGGAAGACTCTAGCCGAAATAAATTGATGTGTAAATCAAAAAAATACCCTGGCCATAACAAAGCTTTTTCAGAACTCATTTGGGTGTCTGTACAGCAGTTTCAGGACTTCAGTTCAGTTTAGTCAATATATCTTACAGCACTTCTATAGAGATGAGAGTCTGTCACTTGCCAGCCTAAAAGGACCAATACATTGGCTCTAAAAATGATTTGGTAGTGTTGTTCAGTAGAAATATGTTTTGTTGAATTTAGCCGGCAAGGGTTTTGTTCAACAGTGTTTATGAATTGCTTCTTGATCCTGCTGATTTTTCTTTTATCTGTTGAATGAACATATTGGGAAGTCTTCAGTATTTGATATGCTGGGTATGTTTACATGGAAAAAAATAATCTATTGATTCAAGAAATAGCTGTAGGGATCTTTGCATTAAATTAATTTCAGAATCCTTCTGCCTTCTATTTAAGGTTGTTAGCAATAGGTCCTTTAGTTAGGCCAAGCGTGGTATGCAGTGGCAGTAACATTTAGGCTGGTGATACTTTCCAGAGTTTGCATACAGCTGCTGGTAATGATGACCTTCCAAACTGGACAGCAAACTATTTGTCAGGATTGTGTGTCATTTGGCAAAAGTTTGTACTACAAAGGAACATTTGACTGTCTAGAGCTTGATGATGGTGACGATAGGGTTGTGTTTATGGGTGAGAATCAGGGGGAACACCAACAAAGCAGATATCATGTGGTAGTCTGTTATAGACCACCCAACCAGGATGAAGAGGCAGACAGAATATTCTGTAAGCAGCTGGGAGAAGTCTCACAATCGCTAGCCCTTGTTCTTGTGGGGAACTTCAACTTACCAGATGTCTGCTGGAAATACAGTACAGTGGAGGGGAAGGAGTCTAAGAGGTTCCTGGAGTGTGTGGAAGATAACGTCCTGACGCAGCTGGTGAGGGAGCCAACTAGGGAAGGCGCCCTGTTGTTCCCCAGGGCTCTGTTTTGGGGCCAGTTCTGTCTAATATCTTTATCAATGATCTGGATGAGGGGATCGAGTGCACCCTTGGTAAGTTTGCAGACGACACCAAGTTGGGTGGGACTGTCGATCTGCTGGAGGGTAGGAAGGTTCTACAGAGGGATCTGGACAGGCTGGATCAATGGGCCGAGGCCAATTGTATGAGGTTCAACAAGGCCAGGTGCCAGGTCCTGCACTTGGGTCACAACAACCCCAGCCAGCGCTACAGGCTTGGGGAAGAGTGGCTGGAAAGCTGCCTGGTGGAAAAGAACCTGGGGGTGTTGGTCAACAGCTGGCTGAATATGAG